GTTGTAGGAATGATCTTGAAAATTCCCAATATGTAAATATCAACAGATTTCAGGCTTGTATAAAATTTCCATAAATTTTATATTTCAGAACTTCATAATTTCCTTTAAAAAATATCACTAAATACCTAAAAACTTGTTATATTGAAGCCACTTTTTATTACATTGTCAGCGACACGTTTTACTCTTCTTTCTTCACAATTTAGCATTGGTGACATATTAGTTACTAATATATAACTGTGAAGTTATATATTATATATTAGTTATATATTAGTTACTAATATATAACTGTGAAGTTATATATTAGTTACTATACTATTGACTATATTAAGTATTTTTTCACGTGAATCTTAATTTTTTTGGGGTGCTGAGAAACTAAATTTGTTAAATGTTATCTCTTGGGAAACTCACATTTCTTTAGATGTATTCAAACTTTAAATGATCATTAATTCAGATGTTTCTTATTAGTTTTGTTACTACCACCATTTTCTTTTTACATTATTTTCATATTTTCTTACTATAGAAGTCTGTTTAGCCACTGTACTAGTGATTTAGAAATATGAAAAAAAAAAATGCTAACAGTTGCATCGGTTGATATAAATGTGATGATAATACTTGTAAAGTTAACAACATCACAGCCAGTAAATGCAGTATTGTTGGGTATGCATTTATTTAGTCCACTATATATATACATAGTTTTGTCTAATCAAACCACTTTTGTACAGTGTCATTAAATTGTTAGTAAAAAAAAATAACAAATTTAGTACAAGTTTTGAATCAGAATTTTATTAACTATTTTATTTCTTTGTGCAACGCATATTTACTTACATCTTTTCCCTACATATCCAGTTGGCACAGTCTGTTAAGAAGATTTTGGATGATGCCAAAAAGGCTGTCAAGAAACTGAAAAAAAGTTTTGAAGAAGAATTTGAAAAGTTTTCAAGAACCCACAACCCTTGGAAGCTGTGTACATCTTTACAGATCCAGGATCTTAAGTGGGACGATTTTACCAAAAACTATGTACGTTCTTCCATGCTTTTTAATTGATATAATTTGTTTTAGAACAGAGGGAAATTAATTCTTCATTTATATAATTTTGTGTGGAAAAGTGCCTAACATTTCTTTTTTCAAGAGGGCCTAAGGAACTTGCAGAATTTAACAGACACTTTTTTGAACATCACCAGTAATGGACCTAGGGATTTAGAAAGGGGGGAAGGGGTGCAATCAGCTCATATAATTTCAGAATACATTATTTATATTGATGTAGCCAGATAATACCTTAAATTTAAATATAATGTTATATACTATTGGGCTGTAGCTAGGAGATGCAGGATTTAAAATCTTTTATTGAAATTATTTAATGTTGAAAGGGGTGCACTTTAGAGCATAAGGGTGCAAATTTATCAAAAAGGGTGAAGGTGACCGTACCATCTTGCACCCACCCACCCACCTCCCTAAATCAAGCTAGTGAATGTCGCATATTTTGAAATTTTTATTTCTTTAAAATACAGGTCCGAAATGAAGCTTGCGAAATCCAAGCACCAAATGAAAAAAATGCTTCAGCTTTCTGGTATATTACAAAAAATGTTATTGATAAAGCCAAAAACAACAAGAAAGAACTACAGAACTTAATTTTGTGGCAATACTGGGCAGACAAAAATGGCCTTCTTACCATTTACCCTGCTCTTAAAAAGACAAACGAGTCATGATCCAAGAACTCGGTGAGTATATGTACCTTGTTTGCATTAATTAAATATATATATATATATATATATATATATACAGTGAAACCCCGATTTTACACGCCCCGAGTTAACGAGAATTGGGATATAACATGATGGGAGGTGGACCACATAAAAATCCTCCAACTCAGAAGCATTCTAGATTTTGCTCACAGCCAGATACATGCTACGTTCAAGCAAGGAACACTCGATCAGTTTTTTAATAAATAAACTGCAAATGATGATTGCTAATATTTTTGAATGTTTTTATTTGTTGTTTTGTTTATTAAAAGCCAACTAAAAAAATAACTTGTGTTTTAATTTCTACTGTAACAACAACAAGAGGTAATTTACTTGCCAGACAGGGAACGTGTGAAAAACTAGTCAAAGAGGGTGAAAATAGAGGTGTTTTAGGATGTTAGGTCAACATTGGGTCAGTTTGAACATTGATTGTTTTGTGATGACATTTTATGGACCTCAACGATCGCATTATAATGGGGCTACACTGTATATATATATATATATATATGTATATAGTAAAAGTTGTGAATGCAAGTGATAATTATTTGTATGACTGTTTCATGTAAGAGACAACACTTAAATCTGTGACCGGGGAGAAAAGCCTCAATTATATCTAATTCTGTTTAGATCTGGTCTTTTGTTTCGGATGTGGATGATTTCTTTGTTTTTCGGTCTTTTTAGTGTTCTAAGTCAGAATTTCTTAACCTTTTTGATACAAGGAACTCACTCACTTGCCTTCCTAAACTGTCAGGAACCATTAAAATGCAAATTCAATGAAAAACTGTTACAAGTTACAAATGAATATTCTGTCAGTTTTTTTTTGTTTGTTGGTTGGTTTTCGGGGAATTGTGCAGACTGGTTCTAGTCCGTGGACTGGCAGCTTAGAAACACAGTTCTACATTACAGCTATTGTAATTAGAATAGTGTCTTGTGTGAGTTTTGCTAATGTCTATGGACTGGCAGCTTAGAAACACTGTTCTACATTACAGCTATTCTAATTAGAATAGTGTCTTGTGTGAGTTTTCGCTAATGTCCGTGGACTGGCAGCTTAGAAACACTGTTCTACATTACAGCTATTCTAATTAGAATAGTGTCTTGTGTGAGTTTTCGCTAATGTCACAGTTAAAGTGTCGGACCGCCTCATCGTAGTCTTTGAACTATTGCCAAACATACCTGCCATTATCTACAATGATGAGAATATTCACATGAGTTGAATTCTTGTAGATTATATCTTTGGGCTTCAGATGACTATATGGTTACTTTACGTGTGTCAGTTAGAAGAAAAAAAGTAAATGATGAAATCCTAGTGCTTTTGACCCGTTAAAAGCGTGAGGTTTTTCAGCTGGTTTTTCTTTAATATGAACCAGGATGTTACAAGAAATCTGTTTTGTTCAAATCAAACTTTATATTTGAAACATTCTGTTGGTCTTATGAAAATTGTTAATAAGTCTGTTATAGTAAACAATATTCCTTACACATAAGTGTTTTGGTCAAAAAAATAAAGAAAACTACTTGTCTTAATTGAAACAATACAAAATAAGTTCATGCAAAAGATTTTGTTTACTTACAAGAAATAATATAGTTCCATATTTTTGTATAACGTTGTTATAGGCCCTGGTATCGACAGGCTGCTTCAACTGGAGGAAAAAGTATTGTTATTCTTCTAGATCGATCCCGATCAATGATGAACGTTTTGGATCTTGCAAAGCATGTAGCTATGACTCTGTTAGAGTTGTTAAATCCAGAAGATGAGGTTAGTATCGTGATAGAATTCACTGGATGAGACGGCTGATACTTGTGTTTTTTGATAGAAATGTGCTAAACATTTGAGAAATAACATACTTATTAAACCATTGCGATCTATGTGGTTTTTGAAATACATTTCTTTAATCTATTTAATCTAATCTATTTCTCTAATCCAAGTAGCATATGGGTCTATAACTGTATTGATTACAGGGTCCTAAACAGTGTGTGAGCTTTTCAAAAACTAATCTTGTTAATTATATGTTTAATCCGTTACATATTTTCCAAAGGTAGTTGATTGCTCTGCACAGTTTGTTTGGTCAGTTCTTTACACTGAGTGTTTGTAACAGGAGAAACATAAAATTACTTCATTTGATGCAATACGTGGGCAAACCGGTAAAAAAATGGGGTATAAAAAAAAAAAAAGGAGTTGGTGATTTTATGGCAAAATGCCAACTTGAAACTCATGAATAAGTGATTGCTTAATAACGTGTAAATCATTTGGGAACTAAAAAAAAAACAATGTGAAGTGTTTTTGAAATCTACACTTTGTAAATCTAAAGACTTAAGACTTAAGTATCTCATCACAACACTAACTTTACCCTCTGTGTTTAGTATTTGTTTTTCTGCTTTATTCCTGAGTATTTTCAAACACCTTTAACTTCATTACTGCAACATTTATTTAAGTAAACAAATATTTCCAAACATCTTTAACTTCATTACTACAACATCTGTTTAAGCAAACAAAGAAAACAACTAACAAAGGATAGAGAGTATGATGAATCCAGTTGATAA